TCCATTCCTGCTGGGATCTCCTGCAACCACAGGGCTCACAGTGGACTGTGGATGGGACTAGGAAGGTGCCATGTGAATGCACTGTCCTTCATGGAGAACAGATCTGGTCATGGCTCAGGGGAAGGGCAGTGGGGGCAGCAAGAGGCCTCTGAGCACCAACTGCAAGGGGAAAGGAAGTAAGAACAAAGGAAGGAGAAAGGACTGCATTTTCATTATGTTAGTTTTCCTCTTCTGAAAAATGGTGATTATGTTGGGCCCCACACAGAGTGAGAACCACCGTTCCTGCATTCCTGTGCCCCAAGCCCACAGCCCATTCCTACTCTCAAATGTATGCACATTCTACAGCTATTTATAATGCACAATTTTTAAATATGAGAAAGCAATGTAACCAGATGAGAAATGAACTATGCAAAGAATAGGTTAATAGCACAGTACAGACCTTGGATTGACTATACAGAAAGCGTGACGTGGACTGTTAGAACCTGCTGGTGACAGCCATCCTTTCTTGGAGTTTCCTCTTTGTTATTTGATACCTGTGTGATCCTGGTCAAGTTATTTAACTTCTCTGAATCTTAATTGCTTTTCATGTAAAAGAAGTGACAATTCCTTCTACTTCAATAAGGTCCAAGTGAGAAAGCAGACGTGTAAAGCTTGCTGCATTCTAGACAACCATATGCATTTAAAATACTACTACTGCATGCCCATCACACTGTGGACATGAGAACAGCTCAAAGGAAGATTCTGGGCACAGAGGAGCTTGGATTTTTTGGAGTTATCTGGCTCCTGTGGGAATTCACCCTCTTACCACTTTTCAAATAAATCAAGATCCCACTCAGAGTTCTGGGTTCCTGGCTCATATATAGTTTTAATCATTTCTCAAAACTTGTTCTTTTTACTTAAAACATCACCAGTACATGGTAGAAAACCTGCCTAGCAAGTGTGAGGCCCTGTGTTCAAACCCTACTATTAGCTGGTGGAGTAGCTCAAGTGGTTGAGTGCCTGCCTCGCAAACATGAGGCCCTCAGTTCAAGCCCCAGTACCACAAAAAAAAAAAAAGTCACCAGTCCTGAGGACTACCTTCCATTTCAGAGTTCTCAGACTGGATCAGATTAACGTAGGTGAGCAGAAGCGGTAGGACACACCCATGCTTGGAGGGGAAATTCCCAAATCCAAAATAAGCACAAACCAGCACACCAGCCCCCTCTGCAAGCCTTTATTTGAGCAGGTGTCATGCAGAGGGTGATGTTCCTAGGTGGTACTTGTCCCATTTCCTGGTGATCTGTCCTACAGAAGGCATGTCTGATACTTCCTAGTACTGAGGGGCAACCAGTCTGTGTCCCTTCCATCTGTGTAATGACAGGGGAACACCTTCTACCCTTCCACCCCACCCACCCCCATCTGCAGTGAGTTTACAATATACAGCACGATGATCTCCACTCTGTTGAGAGCTCACCCTTTGGAAGTGGGTGTTGGTTGAGAATGCATTAGTCTTTATTTCAGATGACCTCCCACTGAGTCTCACTATGCCTTCTCCCTGTAGACAGTGGGCCTGTGAAAGGCAAGGGCCATGTCATATTGATGTTTGTCACTCTCCCCTTGGGCTACAATAAGTCCTCAATAAATGTTCACATTAGTAAACTAAACCCTGCCTGTAACCTCTTTCGTACTTTGCACGTGAGACACGAAAGAGCCGTGGCTATCAATGAGAGCATTTGGTCTTCACTAAGGCGCTCACTCATTCTCTCACTCATCCACTCAACACTGAGTTGACTAACCACATGTTGGCAGCAGCAAGTGATTCCTAATGCTGAATGCTCCCAGCAGAAGTTTGTACAAAGGGTGACAGAAGCAAGGGTGGGTGGGGGTGTGGATTAGTTCTTGCTATGTTTTTGGGAGGTGGCAGGGTTCCCTGAGAAAATGGTATTTTCCCTCAGGGTTCCCTGAGAAAAGGGCTTCCCAGAGAAAATGGGTACAAGCCCTAAAGGATGAAAGAAAGTGCATGAGAAGGAAAAAGGAAGCACAAAAGCCACCTGGATGGGAACAGCAAGAACAGAAGAGGCCAGAAGATGCACCTGTCATCTTGTTGCCTTGATCTGTCTATCCATCTGCTCTGTCATAAGCACCAGAGGCCTAACTGTCCCTAGCAGTGGCTGAACACAAGAGGAACTTGTCAACCACCTGCTCTTTCAATCTGGAAAAGGTACTCAGAGAACAGCCTATGGGTAGGGTGGCTGTGTCCTGGGGCAGCCAGGCTAGCCTGACTTGCTTGACAAGGAGTAACAGAATACAGCAACAGGGAAAGGAGAGGCCCCTCATGGAAAAGGAATACCAGGAAGAAAAATTGGGTTTTAGATGGTGGGAACCAACATGGAACCAAGATGTCTCCTCTAAGGTACCAGGGGACCTTCTGCATGATCTCCCCAGCTGGAGAAAAGTCCCAGCGGGGAGGCACATAACTCATGGCTAGCTGCATAGAGTGTCACCCCAGTCAGGGGGCAAGCCCTCTGAGGTCCAGCTGCTCATCCCTTCCTGGTGTTGCCCGGCTGGGCCTGGGCCAAGGGACCAATGGTAGGGAGAGTCAGAGAGCTGAGTCCACACTCTGAGGTTATGTGGCCATGGATGGAGATAGCAGTATCCTCACCTTTCACACACCTGGGAAAACCAGACGGTCTCTAGATCATGGCAAATGTCTAGACTGAGTTCTGAAGCTAAATACCAGCCTGCTACAGTCCCACGCAGCCTATCTCAGCTCTCTTGCTGAGCAGTTTAGAACTGCACTAGCAGTGTTTGTTTTCCCAGTGCATCAGAAAAACATTGTAACAAGAGTTGTGATTTCTTTTCCTCTCTTTCTGGGAAGGGAACTAACAATAGTAGCACAAAGTGTCTATTCCATATTCACCACTAACTGCTTATTCTCTCCTGTGACTCTGCCAGGTGGGTGGTGGTATTAGCATTGAGGCTAAAAAACTGAGATTCAGATGTAACCTGGTACGTGGCAGAGTGAGAGCAAACCCCAACTAGCTGACTCCAAGCCAGTACTGCCGGCCACCACAGCAAGCTGCTGTAGTCACAAACCTACCACCAGGAACCTGCTGGCTCCAGAAACCACTCCTATCTTTAACCAGTCATTAGATAAAAGACAGAGGAGCCTGTTTTGAGGCAGTTTCCTGGAGGCAGAAAAGACACAAGAAAACAGAAGTTAATTGTCCTTGGCATTGCCAGGTAGGAGACGCAGGTGCAATCCAGACAGGCTGTTTCCTGTTGTAGAAACACCCTGAGGTCCAAAGGCTTTCCCAGTCCTCACCCTCTTCTGTGACCACCAACTCTGACTCTGTGACACCTAAGGAGAACTCTGCAGGACAGCTTCTGTAGGAGGGATTCAAACTACTGTGGCAATTAGCACCAGGAGGGGGGCAGGTCACAGCTGGTAACCCTGTAAAGCAGAAGCAGAGCTGGGGTAGAGCCATGTGTGGGAACAGCCCACACATTGGCACAGCCACTGTGAAACCATGGGCACATACCCTCTCTGGGCCAGTCTCCCAAGCCGGAACTTGGTGTCACCCTGGACTCTGCCTACTCCTTCGCCTTTCCATGGAATTAGCTTAATCAATCCTCGGATCAACCTCTGCAATAGGTCGTGAATCAGTTCCTCCTTATGGCTCACCCAGATAACTGCATTAGCCTCTTCTGCTAGGCTACCAGCTGCTGGGATGTCCCCATTCTATCTATCTTCCCAGCCAGAAGGCTAATCCTGGAAGGCGGACCTGCTCGCCTGGCCCCCATATCTCTGAGGGTAAAGTGCAACGTTCCTTGGCTTAGCTCCTATGTCTCTTATTGGCTTCCTGCCTTCTTCCTGGCCTCTTTTCCAGCCACCCTGAACACACTTCCCTTGTCTGTACTTCTCTGAATATATCATGCTGTTTGTGACCACGTAGACTTCTGGCCTGACTTCCTTAGAAGGCCATTTCCTCTGCTAACACCTGCTAGTTCTTCAGAAAACTCAACTCAAATACCACCTCTTCCAGGAGGCCCACATCTAACTTAGAAGTCCCCTCCTTTGGGCTCCAAGCCCCATTGTGCTTCCCTCTATCACAACACTTAGAGCTGTTAATCTTTCTTTTCTGTTTACTGCACTAAGTTCCTTGGAAAAGAGGAACCAAGCCCAGACAGGGTTCAGGTGATTTTGTATCTGCAGTAATACCCAGGCACCCAGCACTGTGCTTGAAAGACCACAAGGATTTCTACACAGAAGAGTGAATGAGTCTCTTCTGTAAACATAGGTCTGACCGTGAGTTTGAGGACCTCCATATGTAGTCTTCAAAGGCCCATCAATCTGTGTGCCTGAGCTTGGTTATTAAGGGAGCCAATTTTACTTTGACCATTCTTGCTTCATGAGGTCCTATGTGGTCACAGTGAACTTTCTTGACCTGAAGACCAGTTACCACAAATGATCAGTAGGCCCTGGAAGCAGTTCTATGGCCAAAGCTTGGGGCAGGGTAGGAGAGGGCAGCCAGCAGTCTCTGGGCTCCAAGATCTATAACCTCTGGTAGAAAGAGGCTGGAGATCATGCTATGCTGAGTCTGGAGTGCCAGCCAACCACAGCATTCTTCCAAACCCTGCTAGTTCTGTCTACTCATGACTTAGCTCTTTGTTGTTGAAAAGTTCAGTCTTGTGAAATGCGTTTGGTTTCAAGTTTCCTGTTACTACTGTATTTATTTAAAAATTATGCCTCAGCTGTTCCCTGAAGAGATAAGGTGCCTATAGTTGATCTAGAAGCTTCTCACAGTCAACCCCCATGTGCAGAAGACCTGATAGTGAAGTGAAACTGAAGAGGTAGACACTTGGTTGTGTGTCATTTCCTCTCAGAAGCTCAGGGTTTTTAATGTAAGGCAAGGGAAGAGGGCCAAGTGAGCACTGAGTCCCTCCTGGGAATGACACTGGGAGGGATGGGGCCCCATCTTCCTAAACTCTAGTTCTTTTCCTTTACTCCCTTTACTGACCTTGAGATCAAAGTGAGCAATTTTCTTTGTGTGAAGGTAGTTCACCCCGTCCAGGATCTGTTTAATGAAGCTGGTGGCTTCTTCCTCACTCAGTGACTCCTTCTGGGCCAGGAAATCAAACAGCTCTCCTCCAGACACTCTGCAAGACAGCAGCAGGGAGGCCAGGTCCAGTCATTTCTGCATGTTACAAGGCCGAGCTTATGGGTGCAGAACCTGAACCTGACCCCCAAGGCACCCTAGAAAGCAGAATCCCCCTTGCCCTGTCTGGGGCTTTATCCAATCAGAACCCAAGACTGACTGCTTCTGATTCCTTTTAGATCTCAAGGGCAGGAATCCCCTTAGGGCTCACATTCTAGGCCTACCACCCTCCACACACACACACACACACACACATCCCTGTGACTCTGGATGTTACCCTGAGTCACTCCATTTTGGGTACAAATGCTAAGGCAGAATGATTTGGCATCTTGTTTGTACATGTGCATAGCCACCATCTGCCCAGCACTACCATAAGGCACAGACTGGTGCCTTATTTGTGTTAACAAAAACCTACCACCTGTGAGCTTATCAGACCCACCAGACCAATGAATGATGCAACCCCCTCACCCAAAATACATAAAAAGAGAGACATCACAGACTGTAGCACAGCCCACACATCACTATCATCGACCCCCTCCAGTGTATTTGTCACAGCATTTGCCCAGGAGAATACTAGGTAACAAATGTCTGACTGCCCTGGTGTCAACTCATTTTTCCCTGCTGTTGACACTGCCCACTTTGCTGCTGTCCAAACCCCTCACCTTGAGCTCTGTGATTTGTTCCTTAACCCTGGAGTGAGTCTATGCTTTTGTTTTGTTTTATCATTGGTTCCTTGCATCGCTCTTTGCATTGCCTTTTAAAATCCTATAGCCTCTTTATTCCTTCTCAGTTCTTCTGTAATGTATATATAATTATGTAAGCTGTGATGTTGCCACTGGATGAAGGATGAGGAGGCTCCCTCAACTTCTCACTTTCCATGTAAAATCACAGGAACTTAAGATTCACACATGAAAGAATTTCAAGGATTCTCACAAACAAGAGTCTCCTAAGGTAGAAGTTTTAGCAAGAACTTATTTTAGCACAATAGGATCAAGTAGGGAAAAATAAAAAAAAAAAAAGGAAAGGAAAGGCATAAAATGGCAAATCTTATTTGTGGCTTTATACTTTCTTTTATTTTGATTAAATTATTTTTGCATTTATTGATGTGTTTTCATGTCAGTCAGTGACACAGAACATTTCAAAGTTTAGTACATACTAACTTTTCTATGGTGCTGACTCAGATCCCTGACTTTGACATTTTTCAACACTTTTTTTTTTGGCGGCACTAAGATTTGAACTCAGGGCCTCACACTTGCTAGGCAGGTGCTCTTACTGAGGCCGGCAAGAAGGAGGAAAAATTTGGGGCTCATATAGGTTCCCCAAGGATGGCCCAGGCCACCTGCACCTGGCCAAGAACCACCCACACCCCTCCCCACTCATTGCTTATTGGATGGGAATCTTCTGGGTCTGCCTTTCCCATGGGTTAGTGTAGGTTTTAAAAGCACCTGAAAAAGAAAAGCACGCTCTCTTTGATGGCAGATTACACTTGTGCCCTCACCGTGCTTCCTTTGTATTTCCCTTTCGCTAACTTTTAATAAACCCCATTTACACTCACGCAATCTGCTTGGATTCTTCCAGCCAGAATGCAAGAACCAAGGTCTTCTTGAAACACCATTTACTGTTAACGTTACTGCATGAGCCACTCTACCAACGTGGCTTTATACTTTCTGAGCTGGGAGAATGCATGTGGTCATCTTGTCTTGCAACCCTTAATCATTTGATAATGGATCTGGCCACTCAGGTCATAAGGATGGAACCTTCATGAAAGAGGTTACAGCCCTTATAAAAGGAACCCCAGATGGGCTGGGGGCATGGCTCAAATAATAGAGTACCTGCCTAGCAAGCATGAGGCCTTGAGTTCAAAACCCAGTACTGTGAAGAAAAAAGAAGAGACGCCAGAGAGCTCAATCACCACTTCTATCTTGTGAGGTTACATGAGAAGACACCTCCTATAAGGAAGCAAGCCCTCAGCAGACAACAAATCTTCTGGTGTCTTGCTCTTGGCCTTCCTAGCTTCCCAATGTGAGAAATTTCTGTTTTTATGACACCCAGTTTATGATATGTTGTCACACGGCAGCCTGAATGGACGAATTTGTACTAAAAATGTGGAAGTGGCTTTGGAACTGGGTAATAAATAGAGGCTGGAAGGGTTGTGAGGTGCATGCTAGAAAAAGTCCATGTTGCCATGAGTGGACCATAAAGCCATCCTATTTATTACCCAGTTCCAAAGCCCAGTCTTCTGAGAAATACCCAAGTGGTTGTGAACAGAACACTAGTGGGAACACAGATGGTAAAGGCCATTCTGATGAAGTCTCACATGGAAATGAAAAACATGTTATTGGCCAATGGAGGAAACACCATCTTTCATAAAGTAGTAGAGAATTTGAATGATTCGGGTGTGTGTACTTGTGTTTTGTAGGAGACTGAAATTCTGAGTGATGAAACTGGATATTTGGCTAAGAGAGTTTAAAAGCACAGTGTCAAAGGAGTAGCCTGGTTGCTCTTGACTGCTTATAGTAAAATGTAAAAAGAAAGGAATGTTTTAAAGGTAGAACTGCCAATCAAAAAAGGAAGGAAAACTTGAAATTTGAACATTTCTCACCTTATTCACATTGTAAAAAAAATGAGAAAACCTGTTCAGGAGAGAACAAAGGTGTGGCTAAGAATTGCTTGATAAGGAGGTTAGTATGGCTCAGCCTATTCAAGAGAAGCCAGGTGCTATATGAAGACAATGGAGACATTAGTCAGTCTTGTAAACACGAACCAGGCCTATTGTCCAAGACAGCAGGAGAATGACCCTGAGGTCATTTTGGAGGTCATGGAGAAAAAGGATGCTGCCACTCTCATCACAGGCCCACAGTGCCAGGGCACCATGTCAAAGGAGTGCTCCGCGGCCTCACACTCAGGGCTCTGCTTCCCAAAGGCTATTGCCACAATTCTCAGCCACACCTGGTGGGGCATGCTCTCTGCCAAGCAAAGATGTGGGCATATGGCTGCCTCCATTTAGATTTCAAAGGATGCCCCAAATTGCTCGGGGCTCCTGGGCAGAAAACTGTTGTGGGGATGGAGGCCAACTCAGGAAGTACCCACTAAAGCAATACCCAGTGGAGCCATAGAAATAGGGCTACTCCTGAGACTTCAGACCTACAGTAGGCAGGTATGTAGTTCCAGCCTGGGAGAGACACAGGCAGGCAACTCCAGCTTGTGAGAGATATGGCGTGGACTTCGTCTAACAAAGACATGGAGGCAGGACCTTCACCCCCATGGACCTAAAGGACAGAGCATTAAGCCAAAAGTTATTCTCAGGACTTAAGGGTTTGGATTGGCTCAAAACCTGTCACTCCTTTCCTATTTCTCTCCTTTGGAATGGGAATGTCTAGCCTCACAAGTTCACAGCTGAAGTGGTTTGCCTCAGAATGAATCATACTTGAACCTTGCCTGTAATTGAAACGAGACTTTGACCTTAAACTTAAGAGTTGATGCTAGAATCAGTTAAGACTGTTGGGGCTCTTAGAACAGAATTGAGGCAGGCTAAATGAGGGAACGTTCAGGACTCATAGAAAATATTGCATCTTAGATTAACCATGCTTTGACTCAGGAACTGCTCTCACCTGGCCAGGAACCGCCCATGCCTGACCCCACTCATTAATTAATACTGGATGAGAACCACCTTGTTCTCCCCTTCCCATAGGTTATCATAGGTTTTAAAAGCACCTGAAGAGCAGAAACAGGCTCCCTCTCAGCTTAGGGCTTCCCACCTAGGCCTCCCCATGCTTCCCTTTGTATTTCTCTTCCTGAACTTTTAATAAATTCCATTTACACCCACATGTCCTGTCATGTATTCTTCCACATGGAACAAGGAATTTGGAAGTCTTCTGGTCACATACTGAACCAGTAACATTAACAGAATGAGTATGTTTTACATTCGAGGACATGAATCTGGGGGAGGGCTGGAATCAGGAACAGAATGCTATGGTCTAAATGGACTGGGACAGATAATAAGGAGGAACAAAGCAGGGTCAGACACTGGAGACCTAGGTTCCATTCTAGCCCTGCAACTGACCTTGGAGAATCACTTCCCTTCTCTAAGAAGGCCTCAGTTTCCTCATCTACAAAATGGGCAGATTGGACCACACAGTCCCTAATGCTCCCTTCCTTTATTTTTACAAAATATGGATTCTTCATGGGCTTGGAGAATCTAGGCATAGTCCCCAACATAAATGTAAGACTCCATTAATTACATTAATGTCTAAACACTATGTAATATTACTTTTGACTTTGTTTTTTGGAAACAGGGTCTCACTAAGTAGCTGAGATCTTTCTGTCTCAGCCTTTCGAATGCTGAGATTAGAGACGTACCACTACACCTGTCTTACATTTTACTTTTGATATTACTTTTTGCACACTTCACACTCTTATATCTCAAGGATGATGAGGCAGGAATGGAGACGCCCCACACAAAAATAATCGCTCCTGGGAATTGGGGCAGCCAGATAAAATAGGAGATTTTTACCTGTTAAATCCAGCAATACCACTAAACTTGTTTATCCTCTGACAGATGCTGGACCACCCAGCCAACAAGTGATTCTCTGGGGATGGGACACAGGGAAAGAAGATTTCAGGAAGGGATCTGGGCCAGGGTTCTAGGACTTTGGAATCACTGTGTCTAAAATGCAGATTCCTAGGTCCCATTACAGACCTTACAGCAGGAAGGCCTTAGAATCTGTATTTTTACAATAAATAGCAATATAATAGGAGTTAATATTTGTTTAAAAATTACTCTGTGTTGCATGAGTTCTGTACAATATCTCATTCAATCATTACAATACCATATAAGCTAAGGACTATTAATTTCCTATTTCATAGTGAAACAGAGGTTCAGAAAGGCTGTGTCTTGCCCACTGTCTCACAACTAGTTAAGTTTGAGTCAGGATTCAAACTCAGGCAGCGTGACCACCAATCACTATATCATACTGTGTATCCTCAGATGGTTCTTATATG